TTAGAATCAACGTGTGTTATTCAAGCTTCCGCACCCAACAAGTGGTATTAGATCGAGGTTGTTGATTTTTCGTGGATTGGTTGAGATTCTTTCGAGATGGTTGGGTTGAAGAATGATGTTCTACTGTTAGATCGCAATACAAGATTCTCGTTGTGGCAAGTAAAGATGATGACTATTTTGGCGCAGTTGAATTTAGATGATGCGTTGTTGGGTGTTGAGAGGATGTCAGCAGGTTGGACAACTGAGAAGAAACAACGGAAGGATTGGAAGGCTGTGTCATTGATTCATCTTCATTTGTTTAACAATATTTTGCAGGATGTCTTAAAGGAGAAAACGGCGGCTGCTTTGTGGTTGAAGTTGGAACAGTTGTGTATGACTAAGAGTCTTACAAGTAAACTGGCTTTCAAGCAAAAGCTGTATTCACATCGCATGGTGGAAGGAAAGCCGTTAGAAGACCATGTATTCAAGGAAATAGTTGCCGATCTGGAGACGTTGGAGGTTAAGTACAATGAGGAGGAACTTGCTTTGATCCTGTTGTATTCGCTGCCTAGATCTTATGCGTCGTTTCGGGATACTATCTTGTACAATCGAGATACTTTGACCATAGAAGACGTCTATGATGCTTTGCACTCAAAGGAGAAAATGAAGCATTTAGTTGGAGCTACATCAAGGGATGGGGAAACTCTTGTATCTCAATGTGGTCGACGAAGAGACAGATCGAGAGTTAGATTTAGCAATGTGATATGTTACTACTGCAAAAGGAAGGGACATATTCGGAAGGACTGCAATATGTTGCAGGCTAAAGGTGATTTAGCTGCAAATCGTGGGGTGCAACCTTTGAATTCAAACGAAACCAATGTAGTAGAGAATTGTTCAGATAGCAAAGAGGTGATGTTGACCGTGATATCTGATGTGGAATCTAGGCCTGACGAGGAGTGGATTCTTGATTCAGCATGTTCGCACGATATATGTTCTGATAGGAATTTATTTCAAAGATATGAGACTATTCAGCAAGGTGGAATTGTAATGAGAAACAACCAATCTTACCATATTGCTGGAATCGATCGAGTCAGATTGAGGCTGCGGAATGAAACATTTAGAACAATTGATGAGGTTCGACATGTTCCTGACCTGAAAAGGAATCTCATTTCGCTAAGTATCCTGGATGCGAAAAGGTATAAATTCTCCAGAGGAGGTGGAGTCTTGAAGGTCCGAAAGGAAGTTCGAGTTGTAATGGAGGGACGGAAAAGATACAAGTTGTACATTTTGCAGAGGAGTGCAGAACCAGTTAAGAGGAGACATTTGGACAAGTTTAGTAATACGGTGGAAGTTCAGTTTGGTACAATACCTCTTGTGTTGGGCTCTGAGTCGATTCAGAAAACTGCTAGGGAGAGCGTTGATGATTTCTCTTTACTACCAATTTCAGGGAATACACTGTGTTCAGTTGCTGGGAAAGAACTCATCGAGCGTAGGTACCGTGGTGTCAACAATGTCTGGGATGCCCCTGAGGATGTTGAAGGCGATAGTTCCAGCAAAGAGCCTTCTGATCAGGCATTTGGTTTGGTTCTTGCTACAGGGTGTGCTTCAACCCTGTGTGATCAACATTAATTCCTTGGTGGAATTGAAAACCCTGGGGATTGGGTTGTGGATGCCGCGCAGAGGACGAGTGTTTGGTTTATATGGAGTGTTTACTATGTTGAGGAGATTCGGCCAGTTCATTTTGTTGCAAACGGATTTGAAATCTAGGAGTTTCGTTCGTTGCACTAGAATTTGAGTCAAGATGGACATTGTTAGGAGTATGACTCAAATATGAGTCTTTTGAAGAGGGTATTTGACTTGGACTAGGAGAATATTAACCTAGGGTTTAAGGAAATTAAATTGAATAAGGAAACAAAATCATGTTGAAATTGGGTCTCCTAATTGTAATATATTTTCTTGCTTTTTAGGACTCTTATGGGGTTGGCCTGTAAATACGATGCTACTTTGGTAAGTTTGTAGAGAGTAACATAGAAGTAGTATTGCTAGTCTGTCTTGTATTCTCCATATTGTTGAATTAATAAATATCATCCTTTGCCTTTAATCTTTTTTTTTTTTGTTTTTTTTTTTACTTCTAAACCTTGTTTTTCGGTGTGTGATCTAGTATACTTCAATATTGTCATATAATCAAGTTCTTTAAAATTCGGTTTGAAATAAACGTGTGTTATTGGAGCTTCCGCACCCAACATGTCTAGTATATTCACTCTTGTAAAGAGGAATTTAACTTTTATTTCAAAGTTTTTTCATTTCAATAGTGTCTCAATTGAATTCTTGCCTATGAAGGATCTTCAAAACTAAGTATCTCTTATGTGCAGGAAGAATAATGATGGAATTTTATAGAGGCCTGATCGTGCACACCTACGTTCTCATCATCTTTTACGTTTGGTTTCAAAAACTCAAGGTCATGTGTTTCTTTATTTCAATATTAGAAATTGCGGCTTCAGCTACGACATATTTTTGCGAAATATTTTACTGATTATTTAAAATTACAAAAGAGAAGGCATAAAGATGAAACTAGCGAGGACTGGCTGTCGATACGTTTCTGCACGTAATCCATTGTTGAACCTCGGTAATATTTGACTTCTTCACGACTTGAAAAACACAATCCATTATGGACTTTTTCTCAAACATAAGTCTCATTTCATCTTTCATGCCTTCTCTAATGGAAATTAGGAGGACAACCAGGATGATCATACCACAACCTCTGCTTTGGTGGTTCTTGGTGGCAATCCAGTCTCATGGAGCACAACGAAGCAAAAAAGTATTGCGCATTCTTCTACTAAGGCCGAGTATAGGATGGTTGCGGTGGCTGCCTCAGAAATTCGTGGCTTCATTCTCTTCTTTAAGAACTACGTGTTGAACTCACTCAAGTTCCACTTTTTTTATTTTTTTTTTCAACTACATTGGTGCCACCAACCTTTGTGCTAATCAAGTGTTCCATTCCAAAATGAAGCATATCGAACACGACTTCCATTTTGTTCAAGACTACATTGTGAAAGGTGAACTTCGAGTTTCTCATGTCCCTAGCAAATATCAACTTGCTGTGATGCCTTAATGAAGCCAACGTCTCTCCACTTCTTTTGTTTCTTCATTCCAAGATTGGTGTCACTAATTGTGAACACCATCTTGAGGGGCGTGTTAGCTAATGATCGTGTACTTTTCTTAGTTATATCTTATTTTATGCTTCTTGCAATTTTCTGTCTTATATGTGCTACTTTGTTTGAAAATCTCCGTTTATTCCATTTAAATTGCAAAAACCATAATCAATCCGTAATAAAATACTTTCCTTTACCTTTCTTAATTAATAAGTTCCTTAAGGCATTGAATTCTGCCCCCATCAAATACCCTAATTTATCCTTTAATTTCCATAGGTTGTCTGTTTTGTCAAATACTGAAGAACCTTAATTTTGCTGCTCCTCACTATCTTGCCCTGTTAGGGATTTTTCCCTATTTTGACAATTAACTAAATAAAAAATAAATCAAGTACACAAGAAAATTCAAATCAAGACCAGATTGTTCACCAGTTTAGCAAATATTGCCTAATCTGGGGGCTCAGAGATCAGCCTACTACTAAGTGCACAAAAGATGTCCAAGAGAGAGTACAATGTTCCAAGACCCAAATTAGAACACGATATGGTCCCTGATCCAAGTGGATTTCCCAAATCATCAACCCTATTCAGTATAAACCACTAAAAATCACACCTAACCATTATACAGATTACCAGCCGTTCTCACAAGCCAAAAAAATTACTGTAACAACACAAATAACACAGGTTTTCGGAAGAAGATTTGCACTCAAAACCAAAAAGCAGAAGAATGACTCAACCGTCGCCTTCTAGAAGATTTAGAACAAAGGAATCAATCTCAGTCGTAAGTCCAAACCAATGATCTAGATCCGTTTTAAACAAGCACAACTGGTGTGAAGGTCCATCCACTAGTTAGGGGTTGCCACGTGGCCTTCCACTTCCAATTGGATTTAATATTTAGACTAAGGCAATTTTATCCTTCCATAAGTTGTGTTTTTGAGAAGCACGTTTTCACGTGCCCTTTCCATTGTGATCGAATTTTTCATAACTTTTTGCACAACCCTGCGAGGTTTAAGTGTTTTTTTTTCGTCTTTTCGGACTCAAAACCTGCACTTTCTGTAAGTGCAAATTCACTTAAGTTGAGATTAAAACTTTGTTTGATATGTCTTTCATAGTCGGTCCCATAATCAAGTAAAGGAGAAGTTTTCATTAAGTTGAAAGTGGACATAAAATTTTGTCAAATCTTATTGCAAAAATCGAGAGGCAGTTGATCCCGCTGAATTTTGGGATAAGAACTGATGAGGAACACATTTATTTACCATGACGAGTGATCAACCGATCCCACCTAAGGTTCTTTTGCCTTTGCATGTGAAAATTCTTTTTATTTTATATGTATTACAAAGTGATTTACTTTGTATTATCATGAATTTTTAGAGTATAATTAATATCTGTTGATTAGTATCACTTTTATTAAAATAATAATAATCAACCATTATTATACATTTCTACTAATTCCTTTCTATTCCATTCAATAATATTTTCTCAATTGTATTTCAATTTGAAAATTACAGTAATTTAAAATAATCAAAGTAAATAAGCATTGACTGAATAAAATATAGTGTCTCAATATTTCCTTATGTAACATATTATTATTTGAATGCAATCATAATTACCATAACTAATAGGATATTTCAATATAATAATTAAAATATCTTCATTAAATGGTTCTATTAATAACAAATATAAATGGAGCAAATAAGCAACATAATTAGTAATAAATATCAAATAATTTTTACCTTTCGCTCACCTATAAATAACACTTAGAAGTTGACAATTAAATAAAAGAAAAGGAAAGAGTATCCCTTTTTTGAACCCGTGAGAGAGAGAGAGAGAGAGATATTCCAGAGAGGCAAAGACAAAGATAGGTATAGTTGAGAAATGGCAGAAGGTACATATAATAATGTTAATAGGTTCAAATTAATATTACAATAGTTAACATCTATAATTTGCAGTCTTTTTTTTTGGTTAGCATGTTTGTCTAATATCTAAGTTATGATTCTTTTAATATGTTATACACACTCGTGCGTTGATTTGGTATCGATGATTGCTATTTTATAACATCATTCCAGGATCCGGCGTAAATAAGCCAAGTAGCTCCTCGACCAGCATTAGCCGTGAACTTGACGTCATGCCACTTGCTGTCGTGACTAGAATCATGAAAAGTGTTCTCCCTAAGGATGTGCGGATTCGCGACGGGGCAAAGAAGAGCGTCCAACAACTTGTGACCGAGTTTATATTATATGTCACGGCACATGCAAGTAAAAAGTGTGTTGATGAGAGTCGCCAGAAAATCACCGGAGAGGACTTGATTGGGGCCATGAAGGACCTGAAATTTGATGACTACATAGAACCCCTCACTCTTCACTTGAAGAAGTACCGTGAAAGTGGCAAATGAAGATATACCAATATGTAATATTAATAGAGATTAAGCCCCTTTTTATCATATAAGTATATGTTAGACCCTAAATTCTATAATTATAAAAGATCTAAAATTTGAAAGACTTTGTTTAAATAGTATTTAATTTGAGATTTAATTTGATGTGTGGTTTTAGTCACCTATGGAGGATTCCTTGAAAAAAAATATTTTCGTTCGTTTCAGAGTAAAACATTCAACTATTGGATTGACAAAGACAGAGACCTTATCAACAATGGTTGATGTGGTTTAGAATAGTATGTAGTAAATAATTAATATTTATTCAGTAAAATATTTAATATAAATAAAATGTTTAGCTGTTAAAAAGATTGTGCCCCTTAATTCATTCTTATTATTTCTAAAATACATTTTTCTTTTTCTTCTTTCCAACTACGCATTTTTAAAAAATATATATATTATACACAAATTCAAAACTTTTTCTTGTTTTTAACCACACATTCACTATCAATCTACTATTTGAAAATGTATTCTCAAAAACAAAGTGTGGCTTAAACAAGCTCCATATTTAAATCGAAATAATAAATCCAGTCGACTAATAGATTATATGCAACATTGATAGATTCGCATCTGAGCTATCCAAATTACACCAACAACATCATGGTTGGATTTTGGTTTTAATCGATTCAATCAGACCAAAATTCAGGAGACTAAGATTTTGATAACATCGTATATTTTACTTTTCAGTCTTTTGTAAGAGACGTATAACCCAACAAGGAGGAGGGAGGGAGAGAAAAAAATGCGTCAATGAAAATTTAGTCAAATGACACTAAATGAGGAACAAAAAGAAAAATAAAATTATAGCACCCATTTTTAACCTTATGCTGTGTGTCGCTAAATGTGCCCCCGTTTGAGTGATATTATTGTGAAAATGAGAATGAAAAATATAGTCGTTATGGTCCTCACACAAGAGATAAAAGTCAAATGTGATAGTTTGATATGATGAATAACGATTATATTTTTCATTTTAATGAGAAAATAATGAGACTCAAACAAGGCATATATAGGAAGAAAAAACGAGTTTTTTTTATTATATAATCAAAGTACAAAGAATCCGTGTACAAAATTGTGAATAGAGTCTCGAATTTGAATGCCACTAATAAATAAATTCAACTGTGCACTTCTGCATTGATATTTTGGAAGGGAAATTTCATTTATATCCAGACATTTAAACGCCCCTCACATGGGGACGAGGCCCGCGCATTTATTGTGTGGGGGGTGAGGGGCGTGTAAACGCTCGGGTACAAGTAGCTCGGTCAATTTTGGAATTAATGCGATGTGCACAATATTGCAAAAATAAATGGACTTTAAGAGTTACTATTATTGTTTCTATGAGAATTATTTTATCAGAATATTGATTTAAATAATCCTAACTTTTATTTGGCTAATACAACAATTGAGCGATTTAAATTATTCTACTCCTAATTTTATACTAAGAAAACAATTGAAAGTATGGTCTAGCGGACAACTCTGTTTATAAGATTCGATTAAAAATGAGAAAAAGTGTCAGGAGAACGGCTTCACCATAGCTTTCTCAGTTTGATTTAGTCTACAAAGCAATGAAATTAATGACAGATGGACCCAGCTAAACTTCTCTAAATTAAGTGAAAAAATCTGTTTACAAAAATTAATTCTACTTAAATAAAATATACTATTATGTCCCTGTGCCCCAATTTGGAGGAGAGTAAAACCATATTTTTAACATATTTTGATAAAAGTTTATAAAATGTGTGGTTAAAAAGTTTTTGATCCAATTAAATATGTAGTTAAAATTAATTATTACTTTAACTTTGATCAAAATTTAGATTATAATTTTTATCGATCGGAGGCTATATTAAATTGAGCAATGCGTGATGTACAATGATTTTGATAGAAATAATGCTATTTGCAATCGCTTTATGTTCACGAAATATTTCTTTCGATTTAAAATTATCGCAAACGTACGGTTCGTTAACAAGTAATAAAGTGAAATATTAAGTTTCGAATATTGTTCCACAGAGATCAAGTAGTTCAATTTTATTTATCAGCCTTAACCGAAACGAATTTGTCAAAACAGGAATTTATTCTTAGAAAAACCCTAATTTAATAGAACCCTAATTCATGCAAACCTGATGATTGGAATGAACTTAGTATGTAAAACGATATTTTAACGAATTAAAATGCAAATTAATTGTTTAGAATGCAAATTAGTTGTATTCAATGAAAATTAAACGCATTAGAATCACGAATTCCAATGCAATGATCACTCTTAACCCTAATTTCACAAAATAACAACACGATTGAATTATTGACGAATCCATGCTCCTAATTCTATTCAAAACACTCTCTCTCTCTCTCTCTCTCAAGATGTATTGAACATATTCTTATACACCACCGGCCTATATCTCTACGACAAATGCATATATAAGAATGCATGTGATTTTATGGACATCTAAAGACTCACGCAAAGTATAGGGGTATATCTCTATCCTCTATCGGACCCTACGAAAATTTATACCTTGTCAAATTTATTTTTCTTCTCTCGAACAGATGAAATAAATCACCAAACATCACAAAATTACATGTACTTAATTATGGAAGAAAAGTATTGTATATAAATCATTCAAACATTCAGATACATGTTTAGCCCCCGTTTGAGCCCCATTATTTGGAGATTATAATGTTTTGAATAGTGTTTTTTTTTAAAAATGAGTGGTTGAAAAGAAAAGAAAAGTTTTTGATTTACGTGTAATATTATTTTATTGAAAATTATGTGATTAAAAATAGGAGAGAGAGAAATTTAATTTAATTTAATGAGAAATAATGAGGGCCAAACGGGAGCTTAATGTCAAATTGCAAACTATAAATTAAAGAAATCACATCGCATGGTACATCGACCTCCTAGTATATGAAAACCTAGCCTAACATGGAGAAAATTACAAAATACATGATAAATTGAAGAAAAAATACCACCGAGTTATGAATTCGCTTGAAATCTTGATGATCTTCGTGTAATTCATTGTTACTTTGGTTCAAAATCCTCTCCAAGATGTGTTTTCTTGCCTCTCAATGCGTTTTCCCCTAATTCTGACGAGTCTAGGCTTTTATATCGCGTCCAAATCGCATTCCAATTGAGTTATAACGTAAAACAGAGACTACAGAATCGACCTGAATTTTTACACCATGCGACCGCATGGTTATCAACCATGCGGCCACGTGGTTGAACCTATTTTGGAGTTTCAATTCTCGAGTGGAGGTTGTGCGGCCGCATGGTGTAATGATCTTCCAATTTGTGTCGTTTTAGTCCCCAAACTCAATCTTCTTTATTAATCTCTTTTCTTCGACTATTTTGTTCTATCATCTCATATTGACTTCCAATTGGTACTTGGCACTATCAATTCTTCAATTGCTCCTTTGGCTCATCTTTTGGGATTTTTGCACTTTGGTCCATGAACTATCACCTTGATTAGTTTTGGTCTTTTTTGTTTCTTTTTCTCGTGAATTTCATCAAGTCCATCAGAAAACTCTACAATTCAAGAATTAAGCGAATTTAGGTTACATTTCAAACACTTTGCTCATATTTTAGTCATGTTTGTGAGTTATATAAGTGCATAAAAACGTGCTTATCACCCTATGTTGTATACATGTGGCGGTTAGTAATTTGTTACATAAAGTAATAAAAAACTACCGCATTAATGTATCGAATCACTAATCACCATATGTATTTCACATAAGGTGACTACGACTGCAAATAACATTACTCTCTTGATAATATTGTTAACAATATGTCATCTGTCATGTTGTTATTCGACAGTTTAAAAAACATTTCATTTTTTCAACCAACATGTTTTTGCCACTACCAACATTGTCCACAAAAATATTGTACATATATATTAATTCTATGATATTCAATCTAATTCAATCAATCATGAAATACGAACAGGCTCAGTCACAAGGATTAAAGACGGGAGATACGTGCCACAGCATCATTAGAAAGATTAAAGAGGGCAAAAAAATTAACAACTTAGCCACACAAGTGTTGCGTCCTTGCCCCTGTTTGTAGTAGCGTTATTCTAATTCATTAGAATCAATACATTAATAAACGGTACATTAGTTATTAGTCAGGTCCGTCAGGTAAGCTTTCTTGTTAGCTGCTTGAATTTTTTTGGTCCCTGAACTTTTGAGCTCTCCACTTTGGTCCCCAAACTTCTCTTTTTGGTTCCTTAATCGAATTTTCTCATCTTCTTCTTGGTTTCCTCATTCATCTTATTAACTATATTCTCAACCTCTTTAGACCTCACATTATTGCATGATTTCTTATCCAAATTCATGATCTGCCTTAAATAAACAAAAATAAAAATAGAATTAGATAATGATTATCGAGTTGACTATTCGTCTTTTCCAAATTTGTGTTCAAATAGTATATACTTTTGTTCTAATATAAATTTAGCTCGTCGACCCGGGTGGCTCAACCAGGGAAAAGCTAGAGTTGGTCCATCTCATGACTTCGAGGATCGAACCGAGCCCCATTTTGGGGTGTCGATTCGAGTCGGAGCTAGCACGTTTGGCTCAATTTTCAGCCCATAACAAGCCGAGCCTTAGGAAAAAACTTCTTGTAAAAATTTTTTAAAAATCAAATGAAAAAAGCTAAATGTTTACTGCTGCTTGTATTTAAGGCAACTACAGACGAAAATTTAAATTTCAAATTTAATTGAAATGATTTTTTTTTTAGTTATAAATATTAGTTAAAATTTTGAGTTTCATAACAATTTTCTTCAACCAGTTTTAACTTACAGTATTTTAGTTTCAACTTCAATCTCCAATTTCTTTACTCTAATATTTAGTTTCTATAATTCTAATATTCAGTATCTTTTGTTATAATAGTTATAGATGATTTTTATTAGCGATGTGATTAATTAGTTCAAGGATTATTTGAGTACTCCAATCAACTACAATGCATCTTGTTCTAATTGATATGGAGAATA